CTCTCTCTCTCTCTCTCTCTCTCTCTCTCTCTCTCTCTCTCTCTCTCTCTTGTTGCAGCTAGTGGAGGGGATGTCACTAGTAGGAAGCAGAATGCTGTACAGCACAAACAAAAGCTACATGAGTGATCCTTGCTGACCACTGAGCATGTGGTTTGATTGGCAATGAATGAATGAGATGTATTCTTATCCCATGGCTGAAATGGTACCTGCAACTGGTTGTGATTGTTTCTGGAAAATGGGATTACTCTTAGGCTTGATCAATTTTGGATGGCTTAGAACTTTGTTTCGGGACTGCCTTGTTCTGGGTATTCCTTAGAACTTTGTTCTGGGACTGCCTTCCATGAAGAGTCTGGCAGCTCATTTTCTCCTAATGTTGATTTGAGTCATTTTGGTCAATGGGGGAATTTCCCAAAGGTTAAGTCGCCAGATTTCGACTTTTCACCTACTAACCCTGAACTCAAAATCCCTCACTTCTCTCTCAAAACGTCCTCCTACATCTAAGTGGTTATGTCCTCAATGTGGACCTTCTCTGGCAATGCGCGCTTGCTGAGGGGTGACAAACAGGTACATCTTGAGTGCTGATTCCTAATTCAAATTTGATGTTGTGTCCTTTGTTCTAGCCTCGGCTCATCAATCCATCCAATCTTGACTCTAGAGGCAACTTAGGTCAGGGAACCTGCATCTATCTAATGTACTCCTGGATGTGATGTCATGTTGTGAGCATAATGCTCTATCTTTCATCTGCTAACTGGAGGATGGTGTCAATCTTGTTTGCTATTCATCTTAAGTCCAAGTTTTTTGTTCCATCATGTATGATAAGTCCATGTGAGTTTCCTGAGTCTTCTGATAGAAGAAAGCTGTGCGGTTTTGCTTGCTCTGTCCTGCATGCATCAGACAGAAGAAGAGTTGGCTAGACGCAGTTACATCTATCAAAGGACCATCAAGTCATTGGTGCATAAGCTCAAAGGTACTCCATATGCTTGTTCATAGAACCCTCACAGAGGATGTAGAAAATTATTGCATACGGCATATGTTATTAGGCCTGGGAAACTTCTAATTTATGATGTCTGGTTGGGATAGAGCTTCATCACCTTACTCACAGATTAGTCTTTGCCCCTTGTTAACGACCAGTACCTTTGACGACCTTTGCTTTGGTATAGAAGGGGGTCATGCTGGGCATCTGGTGGTAGCACGAAGGAGACCGGTTACAAATGCATGAAGGGAGTCATGGTCATCGTTGATCGGTTCCCTAAGTATGCTATGCTCATTCCTTTACCTTCTGAAGCAAAAACCAAACTGGTCATTCAAAAATTTCAGATGCGTTGGGTCTCTGAGTGTGGCTTTCCTAAGACCATTGTGTCTAACATAGATGTACGGTTCACCGGACAGCAATGGCAAAAGCTAATGGAGGTGTACGGCACAAGGTTGACAATGTCATAAGGTAGGCACCCTGAGACAAATGGACAGACTGAGCAAATGAACCGTCTGTGCCAGCAACTTCTGCGCATGTATGTGAGACCGGACCAAGTGGACTGGGATGAGAACTTGCTTAAGATAGCCAGTGCATATAACAACAGTGTGCATGTAGTCACTGGAAGAACACCAAATGCACTGCACAAGGGATGGCAACCCAAAAGACCTATAGACTCCTTGGCGAGGGACCAGATTCAAAGGTTACCTCCAGGTACCCGTGAGTTTGCAGTTCTGTATGACTTGCAAAGGTTAAGGAAAACATTGGAAAAGCTCAAAACCAGATGATCGAACAAGCTAATAAGCATCACAGACCTGCACAGTTCGAAGAAGGAGATCTGGTATGGGTTAAGCCTAATGAGTTTAGGAATCTCACAAAAACTGCTAGCTGTCTACTATGGGCCATGGGAAGTTCCGAAAGTGATTGGGGACACAAATGGACCATCTTATCAGATTGATGTGCCCCTACATATTCCACTCGACTAAACTGCTACCCTACATTGAAGGTCAAGACTTCCCTAATAGACCATCAATGTTTCCAACTTTCCACCTTCAGTGGTTGGAGGGTACCAAGTTCAAAAGATTCTCGAACACGGGTTTTTCTCTACCGCTTGAAGGAGAAGGCCACACAAGTAGTTCAAGGTAAACTTCAGTAACCAACCTGTGTCAGAAGCAAGATGGTTTAGTAAGAAAGAACTTACCTACTGCAGCTGATTTTTTTTTATTTTATTTTTTTGAAAACTTCATGTGTGGGGAAACCCACTTAACGAGGTGATAAGAGCAGCCTCGTTAAGTGGGCCCCAGCATTGAAGGCTCCATCTATTGGTGGGGAGCAGCACCTGCTGGAAATCGGGTCCAGCATCCCAATACAATGATATGACGAGTGTCAGCTGGAAATCGGGTCCAGCATCCCTATTCAATGATTTGTGGAGATGTCATTAGAGTGCATCCAACACTATGTGATTGTGTTCATTCGGTTTGTGAAGCCAAATCCGTATTCCACCATATCTGCCATGTCATTCTAAATAGCAGAGGCATTGATTACTTCCCTGCGACAGGGAAGGATTGACCTCCTGCCATCAAAGCCTAACCCTAACAAAAAGCATTTCCATCAACCACCACAACAAGCAATCATCAAACACACCAAAAAACAGCTCAGACACATGAAACCCTAAACAACCTACCTCCCACCTGAGGGGCCAATCAACACCCCTCCTTGATTGAAATTGAGGCCCGGGGAACTCCAATCAACAAAGGGGACATCGACTATCCTAGTTCCATCCGCTGCCAGACAACGAGGAGCGATTCAACATTCATATAGAAGAGGGGGGAGGCCAATAAAACGTTTTTTCAGCTCTAATCCCCTCTTCCCCGTCCTCGTCAGATCCCCACTCCTCTCTTCCCTGTGATGATGTCGCCGGTATTGATGTTGCCACTGCCATTATCACTGCTGATCTCATCGCGGTAGCCGTGGTTGTTGTTGTTGTCAATGCTGATGTTGTTGTTGTTGTTGTTTGTCATTGCTATTGTTGTTGTTGTTGCCGTTGTTGTTGCCGTTGTTGTTGTTGCTGTTGTTGTCTCTGTTGTCGTTGTCGCCACCAGTACTGCAGGCGCCGTTGTCGTTGTTGAGAACGCTGGTGATGATGTGCCTGTCGTTTCTGTTATTTTTGTTGTTGTTATTGTTATTACCGCGGTTGTCTCCGCCGCTGCTGACACTGCTAATGATGATGCTGTTGTTGTTATTGCTGTTGGTGCTGTACCCCTCATTGTCTTCACAGCCGCCAATATCGCTGATGTCGATGTTGTTCTTGTTATTGATGTTGGCGCTGTTACCTTCGCCGCCGCCTGCGCCTCCTCCATGTCATTCTCGCCCTCCAGCCGCTCCTCCAACAGATTACGCAGGTTGTAACCCTCAGTGAAGAGGGCTTTGCAGGCATTCATCATGCCATCTGCCCTCCTCCAATCGATGCAGGTTTCGAGCTGGGGATCCGGCCCCACCTCCAGCTCCCAGATGATATCCAACATGTCCTCGGTCGTGTCATTCAACCAATCAGCCAGAGAGGTCGCTCCCTCTTCGACCTCTGGCTCCTCCTGTGACCGTAAAGACAACTCCCCAACAATCTCCTGTAACCGCCTGCATCCCTTCTCCATGGTAATCAGCCATTTGTCTGCTCCACATTGTAGCTCCCCCACCAAATCCATCTCTTACCCAGAAAGCTGCGCCCTTATTGGGTTTCCTCGCCAATCTCACAGCTGGCGCTACCCCTGTCCACGCGTCGCGGGACATCAACGTCACCAACAGCAGATGCCACGTGGCAATCAAGGATCCACGCACGCCTGTCGGGCGCACGCACAGGCCTAGCTGCCGAGGAGCACCCCTCCCCAGCCACTAGTCTAGCCGGAGGGACCGGGCCTTACCGGTCCGCCAGCATCAGGGCGCTAGAGCTAGCGCAGCTCTCCTGACTGCAGCTGATATAATTGTGGCATATGAATGTGGGTTGAAAGAACCGTGCCTGAAAGAAAAATTTCTGCGGTGCAACTTGAACTCGGGCCAGAAAGAGTGCAATAAGCTCAGTTCAAAATCCGCAGGAGTCAAGGTCAAAGGCCAGAAATAGGGGTCAGAAGTCGCATCCTGAGTCCCGTAGAGGTCTGAGAAAGTCCTTAGGGTCAAGGGGTACTAGGCCCTGAGTCAAAAGCTGTGCCAGGACCCCCACATTGTACAATTTACTCGTGGAAAATCAAGAGTCAGACCCCGGACGGGAAATGCAGACCCATAGTCAAAATCTCACAGTAAGTCGACCACGGTCGTAGATCAGCTGCGCATCAAAGGTCGTCTGCAGGTATCCAGAAGATTCCAGTTCCATCAGGGACTCGACACATATGCCTTGCACTGGCTCATGTCAGGTTGCTGCGCGTGAGGCTGGTGTGTGGAGATGTTGGCGCCAGTTGCTGCTGGAGGCGCCAGCCTTGTTGGAGGACTAGCTGGAGCGGCCATAGCAGCCATAGCCATAGATCTAGGTGATGAGGTTGGGCGAGGAGCAGGATCAGGGTTGTGAGACTGATGAGAGGTGTGAGGGGAAGCATACCTGGACTTACCTGTCGCCAATGTGATTGATCTGCTGCTGGTCTCCATGAAGGTGAGGAAGGACAGCGCCATGATGCCGCCATCCTCCATAGCTCGATGTGGACTGTGGAAGGAGGATGGGAGCTCTGCTGAGATCTGCACAGTGACTACATCAGTGGTCGTCAGAGGACAGCATGCATTGCTGAGGTGGCGATAGCGGAGAAGCCCGAGGAGGAGGTGGAATTAAAGGGCGACATACATGTATTATTGATTACAAGTGGGTATCCCTGTCTCTTATACACATCTAGATGTGTATAAGAGACAGATACATGTATTATTGATTACAAGTGGGGTGCCCGCTGTGGACGCGGTGGGAGCCGAGGGGAGGGGAAAAACGAAAAAAAAAACGAACTTCCAGTGAGAACGAATCTTAATTGAGAACGATTTTATTCATGTCGCGGATTTGAACTTGGGTCTGTCAACAGTTCGCATGTGTACAAACTGAGCTAGGCCCACTAGTGTCTCTGCATGTAAAGAAAAAAACACAAAAATATCTACGTGTCTCCTGAAAGCTGTTTGTGTTCAAGYGGAGGATTCAATCTCATTTTGCACATTTGGGCTCTCGCGACTTGGAGAAAAATTTCGGGAGTACTCCCGAACGTCCGAAGACGCGAAAATCCATTAGGGAGTGCGCTTCGCTACATTGCACTTGCGGGGATCAAGGTCCTCGGTAGGCCTAAGGGGCCCTGTTTGCAGCATTGCCCGCCCTAAGTGAAGGCGGAGGTGCCCGCCCTAAGTGAAGGCGGGCCTGACATATCGCAMGAGGCCCCCTACTGGCAATTTCATATTTGGGGTCCAGGCAATTGCGACGCGCCAGTTGGTTGAGAGAAACTCAGGCCGGGCCACAAAGACATTTCCACGGCCCTCTGGGCTTTTCCAAAGAATGCAGGCCCTGGGCGTGAATCACAGCCTCTTACAGAGACAGTTGGGCGCCCAACCGAACGAGGCCCAGCAGCCCAGTAGCTGCTGTACACAGGCAGCCTCCTGGGGCCTTCCGGAAGCTTCTGGGCCCAGGCCAGGGCAGCCAGGCAGGGCAAGCAGGCCAGCTCTTTCCATAAAGGAAAGAGCTCTCCGCTGGGAGGGTATTCGGTCACTTCCTGGCTGGCGGCAGCGCTGCTGGAGCGATTGCTCGCGGGCTGGCTGCCGGCATTGGAGCAAGAGACTGCGCACGTGYGGTCGTGTGTTGGAGCAGGGCGCTGCTGAGGGCAGCGCCATAGCCAGCCTTCATAGCGGGCTGGGCTTGGATGCACAGTGAGGCGCAGGGGTGGTCTTCGGGTGTAAGAGAGGACAGGTGTGGGTGTAAGTCAGGGAAGGGCGAAGGATGATGATGATGATGATGTAAGGGCACTTACCTTGTCTTGGCGATGGTCTGCATATGGGCGACATCTTCAAGTACTTCGGGTTGCCGCTGATGTCAACAGTTGCATTGTCTATTATTAGGCTGATCGTAGCTGTGTAGGAGTAGGCTGGGCGCTGAGCGCCAAGTAGGAGTGTGAAGGGACTGGACTCTTGTGTTGCTGAAGGAGAGAGAGAGCTCTCCATGWCATTGGTTTTCAGTACTACRAACCTCCATTGGTGTATTATTGGTGCAATGCTGCTCTCTGGACACAGTGTGACTATCTGGCTTTTAATGTGATGGTGTAATCTGGATTTGTCATCTCGCTGTTGCTTATTTTCCTTGCACACTCCCGACTTGGGGCGCTCTCCGMTTTGGAGGCCAGGAGGCGCACTTCAGACAGAGACTGTCCAGCACTGTCCAGCATGTGGYGACGAAAACTGTGAGGAGAATGCTTGTCTGCGCACGAGTTCTCCGGTCGAAACACAGRCCTCCACAAGAGGTCTCCYGAAAATGGCCTTTTACGGGCGGGAGGCTCAACCGWTTTCGGGAGTGCTCTCGGGAGCCACATTCTGACGGCTCCCGAATTCARTCTGACAGGTTGAACTCGGGAGCCAGTGTGGCRACGCTGCACTCCCGAAAATGGCCAARTCGGGAGTAGTGTGGTGAGACCCTTGGAGAGTAGTGGAGCGATGCCTGGGCTGCAGAAATGACAGAAAAACAAAAGGGCCTCGCTCCACCCCTCTCCACATGCACAGAAGACGAAGTATGGCATCTTTCCATGTTCTAGCGGAGGATCCAGTCTCATTTTGCACATTTGGAGAGTAGCGGAGCGGCACCCTAAGCAACGAATTGCAAGCGCCTCGCTCCACTACTCTCCACAAGCACAAAAAACAAAACATGTGGCAATTAAGGTCTAAAAGGACCAAAGGAGACCAAGCAATGACTTGCTGGTTTCTGCTGCCAAGACTGACTGGGAGGCTGTACACTAACCGTAGGGTTAGATTCGTAAATTTGTTTGGCTGAGGGCTAACTGAGAGACCTGCCTGTTTGGAAATTCACGAGGGACAGATCTGCAATTCCGGGAAAATACAGGCCCGGTACTAACCGAATTTCTACAGCTACCCTAACTGCCTATAGCAGGCCCGGGCTACCCCTAGGACAGACAGGCCCTAAGCGGCCTATACTGCTATACGGTCCTATAGCCTATAGCCGGGTCCGGTAGAGGCCAATAGCCGGGTCCGGTAGAGGCCAGGAGGCCGAAACAGCGGCGGTACCGGTAGGTCCAGTCAGTCCAGCCTAGGTCTAGGTTAGAGTAAGAAGTCTATAAGTCCGATAGGGAAATTGGGTAGGGACTTTTGGCTTTTCATTTTCGCGTGACTGCGTTCGTGGCCAACCAAGTTTAGGAGCGCTGAATGTCTACAGCGGCACCTGCGACATCAGCTGTGTGAGGCAGCCATAGCCCGCCTAGCTGAGACAGCCATAGCTGGGGCTGTGCTCAGCGCATCTATCCCCAGGGGATATCTGCGTTTGGCAGGACTATCGGAAGGTCTTCACTGAGTACATGTGGGTACTGCTGCTGCGGTAGCAGCCAGGCAGCCATAGCTGCCTTCTTCATCGTCAGAGTAACTCATCGGCACTGGGGACTACCTCGCTGTTCATGATCTTCATCTGGGTGTATGGCGCTGGCCTCTGGGAGGCTGTTTCCTGTCTCTTATACACATCTAGATGTGTATAAGAGACAGGTCAGAGTGACTCATCGGCACTGGGGACTACCTCGCTGTTCATGATCTTCATCTGGGTGTATGGCGCTGGCCTCTGGGAGGCTGTTTCAGTGCAGCGCTAGACTCTGAGAGTGGAGTAGTGAGTGGAGKGTGTGGTACTGRGGTGGCGAGACAYTGGGTTGAACTCTGTAACGATAATTKGGGTTRATTGAGTTGAGTTGGCTCATCATCTGTGTCATATTCCAATTGTGATCTTCGCAGTGTCATATTGTGATTGGTTGTTGGGAGTGTGTCAGAGAGAGAGAAACACTGAGTGTATTCTCCCCTTCTGTGCATGGTTGCTATTCCGCTGATTATCTCTGGTCTGTGTGCAGTTGGACTTTGTCTCGTTCTCCCCTTTGTCTCATGCATGTATGGGCGTGTGTGAGTTCTTTTGTGTGTTAGTGGCAAATCAATTGTCAGACAATCAAGTTCATAACAGTTGGTATCGGAGCGGAGATTGGACTTGGAGCTCAGAGGGTTGAGCGCAACAGGGGCAACTTCTCTTTCTGGCCCTAACTGGCGAGAAGTGCCATGGCGGCTCTTTATCTTCAGTAAAGACCCAGAGGAAGGGAAGACATACAAGCGGTGATTGCAGACTATCAGTTTGCGATTGATCAGGCACTCTGAGCTTGTCTGTGTGCCTGACAGGAAGTGGCGAGAACAGGGATATTTCGCCATCCACCTTTCATACCTCAGTTGATGACTGGGATCAGGGTGGCGAATTACACCCTAATCCAGCGATAACAGGGCGGCGGCTTCAATCCCAATACAGCGCTGAGGGAGGATTGATCATAGGATCACCTCCTGCTAAATTAACCCTACTCAGAGCTAAATTTAGCACCAGCGGCATATACCTTGTAGTGGCGAGATATCTTCAGGAGGGTTTTCTCTCGCCACTGAGCCAGATTCAGTGAATCTGAGAGGTGGGGCTGAATCGCCACATCATGCCGGAGCGGATCAACAAGTTTCAGGAGATTCTATACGTGGGAAGTTGTGGAAGAGTGTCTGCAAGTACTGGCGAGACCAGGGCTTGGCGGCCATAGCCAAAGCTTCATCACCCACTGAGTGAAATACTTCAAGTGAGTGTGTTCCATGGGACTCCCTGAGTAGCGATTAGTATAGAGGCAGTAAAACTAGAAACGATGTTTTGTCTATCAGTAGGGTCACAATCGTGAAATTGTCAGACTGCAAGACAACCATATCCATCTTCTTCCTCCCTACCCTGACTCATATCTCACTATCTATTGACATGTTCTGACTCAAAATTGTTATGGGACTGTATGACAGTATTGCGCTGCATCCTGTGTGATCATACTATGAATTCTGTGTAGGAAAAGTAGTGATACTGTGGATTTGAGTTTTGCGCTGAGTCTATTTATAGTCTGTGCTATCTAGGGTTAGTCACAACTCAAAATCTGTCCGTCAGAATTCAAGTCTGTCAGTCTGGGGTGAATCGCAATTTGATTTCTGTCATCTGTGCTTAAGCGCTAGCCCAGAATCATTGAATTTGGGTCATTACAGTGAAAACTTGAAATTCGCCATATCTAGGGGTATTTCTGTTGATGTCAACAATGTCGAAATTTGAGTCTAGGGCTGTCAGGGCATAGGTTACTGCATCGCTACTACTTGCTGTGTTGTTTCAGTCAATTCTTGCCTGTCTCCATCAATACTACTAATCCTCTGTGCTTTCTGATGGGCTCTGGAATGCTAGTGACCTCTGGAATGCTGTGAATGTGCATTTTGCAACTTCAGTGAAAGTTCAGTGTCAGGTATAGGAAATCATTAGTGCATGATTTTACTGGACACCCAGTCAGCCTGATTCCTGACCCCAGCGGTTCAATTCCAACCCTAATCGCTTGTGCCCACTAACCCACACTACTCTGTGAACTGACAGTGCAACGAATTTTGAGTGTCTGTGGGAACTGTAAATCGCTGCACCTCCTGCTGTTTTACTTATTATTTTTGTTGTTTTAAAGAGGGAAAATGTCTGACGCAGCTGACTCAGGTGCAGGGAAGGTAGAGGTAGTAGTCAAGGAGGAAGAGCAATCTTCCCCCTCTGCTTCTACCCCTCCTCCTCTCACCCCTGCGCAGTGGCGCAAGAAGGAGATCCAAGAGAAACTGTGAGAGCAACAGGCGCTGCTCGCAGAGGCAGAAAGACAAGAGGCTGCAAAACTGGAAGCTGCAACAAATGCTTCCAGAAAGGAGCATCTGCTGCAGCAGGCTGAGAAGACTGTTGCAGATAACCGGGTGGCCCAGTGTACTAGGGATCTGGCTGAGCTGATAATTCTGCAGGACAAACTTACAACCAGCCACTTCACAAACTGGGATGAGAGGATCCAGCGACTGGAGACTATAGTGGCTGATCTGGGAACTCAGCAGTCTAAGATCCTGGACTCTATCCAGAATCTGACTGCCCAGTTAACAGCAGCCAACGTCATTAGTCCCCTGGTCCCTGTGGTCCCCACTCCAAAGCCCAAGAAGCCTTCTCAGCCCCCTTCTCCACCTCCTTCGCCTTCTGGATCTTCTCACCCTTACGTAAGTCTTCCCCCTCTGTCACCTCCCAGGCTAAAGCCACGCCTCCTCCCACCTTTGCTGCTGTTGTTGCTGGGGACCAGCGAGGCCCCAAGATCCCTGCCCCCAGCAAATTCAAGGGGGATGACCCCAAGATTGATGTTGGGGACTGGGCAGCTGGAACCCGGACATATCTCAAGGGGTTCCAGTGCCCAAAACAGCAAAAGGTGGCAACGGCCGTGGGGCTGCTGGAGGGGCCAGCCCAGAAATGGGCTACCTCTACAGCCAGCTCCCCAGTCACAGACCTTGGAGGACTGGGCATTGGCACTGGGGGCTGACAAACTTTTGCAGGCCCTGGAAGATAGGTTTGCAGACAAAGAGAGAGCCCACAAAGCTGCTGATAAGATTGTACGCCTGGGCCAGCAGCGATACAGCGGCAGTCTGCAGACTCTATTTGCTGAGTTTGAGCAGCTAACTTCCACCCCTGGGTTAGTGATGTCTGCTGATGACTTACTCACTAACTTTTGCAGGGCAGCGCTTGAAAAGTTTTCTGTTGCTTTGTATAGCGCCGGACACAAAGACTGGCGATCATTTGGACGAGCAGCACTGGACATGGAGGCCAAGCTCCATGTTCAGGCCCCCTCCAGTGATAGGAGGAAGGGCGCCTTCCCTCGCGGTCGTAGAAGGGGAATGGCGGCCCTTGCATATGCGGGCTCTGGATCAGCCTCTGACACAGGCTCCCAGCCTGGTACACCGCCAACTGGGACTGCTTCAGCTGCTGTTCCGGATGTTGCAGCAGTCGTACAGCAGCTGCAGGCTGCGCTGGGGACCTTCCAAAAGGCTGGGTCTCCCTCCAGCACAACCTCCAGCAGCAAGGGGAAGAGCCAGGGATGTCGCTCTTCAACCCCTGCCCGGCGCCCTAACCTGCCACGTGACGTCCGCTTTCCTGCAGACCCCCTTAATCCTAAAACCCTACCCTGGCATGATTTAAAAATTCAGGAAGGGGTGTGGAGGAAGAAGAAGGAGAAGGGAGTCTGCTTGAGGTGTGAGGGACATCATTTTTTGAAGGACTGTCCCTACATGCCTAGCCCAGCTCAGTCAAAAAACTGAAGCTGAACCTGGAGACTGCAGTTCCCTCCAGTGTTGCATTTGCATCTGCATCTGCATCAGCTTCAGTTGAGACTAGTTCCTTCCTTCCCAGTGTGGGGACTGCGCGAACAACATCCTTCATTTATGAGGATCCTGACCCGGATCAAGAACCGGATCAGTCTGAGTGTCATTCACTTGCTGCTTTTTTCTTTCACCTGAAGGAACAAAAGCAGAACAAGTTTGATCTCATGCTCCTTCGGCCCCTGATCAATCACAGCAGAATCAAAGGGCTGCTGGACTGTGGAGCCACCAGAAATTTCATGTCCCCCAGTGCAGTTAAAAAGTTGCATGTGGGCATGAAAGTGGTGCAACTGCAGCAACCGCTGCAGGTCAGGATAGGTGACTCCACTGTTCTGACGATCAGGGAGAAGGTCAGGGGTATCCCTGTGACCTTCGATAGTGCTGGAGAAGTCAGACATAGTCTGAACTTCTACATATTCCCTGATTTACCCTTTGATCTGTTCTTCTCCATGCAGTGGTTGAAAGCAGTCAACCCAAGGATCGACTGGCAGATCCCCAAGGTTGAGCTGCCAAACAGCAAGGGGGTGTATCAGCCATGTATGATTGCAGTTGAACACCACCCTAAGACATCATGCTTCTGCCTGAGAGCGAGAGAGTTCTACGCTCTCTCACGCCAGTATGACCACGAGCGTCTGTTTATAGCGCTGGTCAAACAAACAGATGCTCCCACTACCCCCTGTCCTCCTGAAATACAGCAGGTTGTAGACGAGTACACTGATCTGATGTAGGAGCCCTTTGGGTTACCCAACCGGCCAACCAAGCATCACATTGAGTTGCTGCCTGGAGCGGTCCCTCCCAAGGGCCACATCTACAGGATGTCACCTGCTGAGCTTGAGGAGCTCAGGCGACAGCTTGAGACCCTAACCAGCAAAGGCTGGATCAGGCCCAGCACTTCTGAATTCGGTGCTTCAGTCCTCTTTGTTCCAAAGGGGAGTGGGGTGTTCAGAATGTGCATAGACTACAGGGGTCTCAACAAGATCACTAGGAAGAGCACAGAGCCACTTCCTAGGATCGATGACCTTCTGGATATGGTCCAGGGCTGTACCATCTTCAGCAAAGTCGACCTCAAATCTGGCTATCACCAGATTGAGATGGCAGAGGAGGACGTCCACAAGACGGCCTTCAAAACCAGGTATGGTACTTATGAGTACCTGGTGATGCCATTTGGACTTTGCAAYGCACCTGGCACATTCCAGACTGAGATGCATCGCATATTCAGGCCGTACCTGGATAAGTTTATGGTTGTCTACCTGGATGACATCCTGGTATTCAACAAAACTACCAGGGAACATGCGGAGCACCTGGCTCTGGTTCTTCAGTCGTTGCATGACAGCCAGTATAAGATCAACAAGGAGAAGTCCTCTTTTGGAGTTCCCTCTGTTATCTATCTGGGTCATGTAATCTCTGGAGATGGTCTGGCCCCTGAAGCAGCCAAGATTGCTGCTATTCAGGATTGGCCACAGCCCCAGACAGTGAGAGATGTCCGGTCTTTCTTGGGTCTGGCCTCGTACTACAGAAAGTTCATCAGAAACTTTTCTGCAGTGGCTGCACCCCTGACTAACCTCACAAAGAAAGACACTCCCTTTCTTTGGTCTCTTCACTGTCAGATGGCCTTTGCACGACTCAAACAGGCCTTGACTCGTGCACCTGTTCTGAAGTTACCTGACCCCACTTTGCCTTTTGTTCTGACTACTGACGCTAGCCAGTATGGAATTGGGGCAGTACTTCAGCAGGATGATGGGAATGGTCTGAGACCTGTCGAGTTCATGAGTAAGAAGATCAAGACTCAGAAGCTTCAGGACTCTACCTACGAGAAAGAGTTGTACGCTCTTGTCAGTGCCCTGAAACATTGGAAGCACTTTCTCCTAGGCAGGCACTTCAAGATCTTTTCTGATCATTCCACCTTGCAGTGGTTGAAGTCCCAGGGAGAGTTGAATGACAAGTTGGCACGCTACATTCAGTTCATTGATCTGTTTGACTTTGAACTGAAGCACAAGAAGGGCTGCTACAATAAAGTAGCTAACGCCCTCTCTCGTAGGCCTGACTTTTTTGCGTTGATCTCCTCTACTCACTCCTTTGGAGAGGAGGTCCGTCAGACCATTGCTCGTTTACTGCCTCAGGACCCGACTTATGGACCCGTCATCAGGAATCTGCAAGCAAATCCCAGTTCTGAACCAGGCTACGCCATGAGTTCAGATCTGCTGTATACGTACAACAGAGGAGAGGAGCGCTTATGTATCCCTGAGGATCAGCAGCTGAGGACACTGCTGATGTCAGAGTGCCACGATGCTCGTGGACACTTCGGGTTCTTAAAGTCGTATGCAGCCCTGTCGCAACGCTTCTTCTGGAAGGAGATGTGGAGTGATATGTTGCGCTATGTGGATACGTGTGAGCTCTGCCAAAGGAACATGGTTCAGCGTAACCTCCTTTGGGATTGCTCAAACCTTTGCCCATACCTGATGGTCCTGCACAGTCTGTATCCATTGACTTTACAGACTTAGGCAAGACCACCCCTCGTGGCATGCGTCAGGTTATGGTCT